TGCAGTATGAAAGAATCCACAAAAAACCTCTTCCTCAAACTAATTCTTAATATCCAATGTGTGCTTAAGATGAATCTTTTTCTATACAATGTAAATGGTCACTTAGGTAAAATGTACCCATGAACATTAAAACTAGTCATTAGAAACATTTAACTAGCCTTATAATTTAAGTTTTAAAACATAAATATTTGCAGCTTCATCTTCTGTTGACAGTGATTGTCGGAGCCTAGAATTCAACATTTACAATGTCCATTCATGCACACAAAACGCACACCATTATCACACAACTTACTCCTCATGTCTTCAGAGAAGAATCTGCTTCTTTAAATCTTTGGCCCCAAACTGGGTTTTTTTGCTGTTACTCAACATGTTCCCTTTTAAGCCTCACCCTGTCATCCAAGTTTCACATTCTCCCCACCATCAACCCCAGTGTAGTAAGGCTCCTGGCATTCTGCCACTAACCGTGCAGTGGTGTTAGAATAGACTGAGAATGAAAAAATAAAAATCACAACTGTATTTTAAACACAAAGGAATTTTTATTTCTCTCCCTTAAAACATTCCAGGTCAAGTGTCAGGAAGACTGAGAATTTTCAGTGACGTGGGTTCCCTCTATTTTGTTGCTCTGCTGTCTTCCACATGCAGTTTCCAGCTCATCCAATCTTGTCTACCCTAGTACAGCACATCCTAAGTAAGCTGTAAGGTGCTTTTCCACTTTTCATCTTCCGCTTGCAATTAATAGTTCTACCTGAATTCCACTAGATGGCAGCACGAACATTCATAAAGTGCTCCGATGGAGCCACTAATCTCTGAAAGGGTGACTACAAATCCCAGCATGCATTACTAAGCACTTGACTTGCTTCCATACAAAGGTCTCAAGTTTGTTGCTCTCACCGGGTTCCGGAGAACGCCGTCAGCTCGCTGCTTAAAGTAAGATTTCCTAATGCTTTCGAAATGAAACTTTAGAAAGAGGAGAGGTTTGTTAGATGTTCTGTTCTGTACGTTGCCTGTTTCAAAATTAACCTGAGCAGTTAGATCAGTGTAAAGATGGGTTTTTAATGAGCTTGAAACTGTCGTATGTATGTCTAATAAAGTAGCCAAAGAAAAGAGGATTCTTACGGTATCCTAAGTGAACATTTTTCTTCCTGGCTCATGAAAACAATGAGTTCCTGAATATGCTCTGTTTGTGTCTCCACTAATCAAAAATCAACATTTTGATTCCAACTTTTGGACTAAGAAAGCCAACGTGTATGGTTTTCACATTGGATATGCTGAGAGTTGCCTTGTTTTACCAATTCAGGCCATGTTTGCACTCATTTTCTCAAAGAAATCTGTTTCAGTTTGAGATTATGGTTTATCAAATGTTAAGGCTTGGCCCCTAAAATCTGGTCCCAGAAAGACAGGAAGGCCAGCTAAGAGGAGGTTTTTCAAAGTGCGTAGAAAAGCTGCTCTGTGCTTCAACAATTGTTCTGGAAGTGCTTCTTTGGGTGTCAAAGATTTCTAGCAAAACCTTTGACTGGAAGGTTTACAGGGCCATACACCAAATATCACTAATGACAGTGTTGTAAAATAGCTTTTTGTACACCATGCTTAGGATCTAAGGAGGGTAAAGACAAAGCATATCTTTCTAAAGTATATTATTCCATGTTGAAAGCGAAAGTTTATCTTTTGTGTAAGAAAAAAGATAAAGCAAAAATTCAGTGTATCAAAATAGGTCAGGCACTGTTAATGCCCAGGTTTCCCATCGCCTAAAGAATGTGGACAAACTCAGAGGAAGTCAGTGGGTTGTAAGGTGATCTCTGGAGCCAGTTCTTACAAGATTGTGTTAGTCTGCCCCTCCAAGAAGCCAACTCCAAGGCAGAATTAAATGTGTGTGGATTTTATTAGGGGAGATGCTGGTGTGAGAGAGAATGAGGAGAGAACTAGGTGAGGCTGTGAGAGCCATCAGGCCTCGATGCAAGTCCACCTGTGAGGTAGGAAAAGGAGGAAGACGGGTTGAGTGGAAGCATCCCAGACAGCTGTGCAGTCAAGAGAGCTTCAGCTGGGTACTAAGGAGCTTCTCCAGCCAGTCATCCGTTGGGGAGGAGCTTTGTGTCTCCCAGAAATGGGGCTGCCTTAGTAACCATGCATGCTCAGGCATTGGCTTGTTACAGCCCCAAGAAGGAGGCCCCAGAACAAGCTCAGAGATGCAGCAGCAGCTGTGCCTCATTGTCCATTACTTCCTGGGGTGAGTGCCTCAGTATGTGAGGCACAGGCTCCTGGTGCCACAGTGGGGATTTAGAGGGGCCTGCAGAGCTGTGAGTACCATGAGACAATGCCATGAGATCTTCCCTTAGACCTGCAACAAGAAGGCCTAGGTTTGAATTCATAGCTGTGAAACACTGGGCAAACCACATTTCTTTGCAGTTAGCCCCACTGGCGATTAGGCCCTACCTCTCATCTCTGAAACACTTCTCCAATCCACCAATCTCTCCAGCCCTGCTATTTTCTCCAGCCCTGCAATTTCACCCATCTAGATAATCCTAGCACCCTCCTAATGCACCCCCTGCTCCTGCCCAGGTATATTCTCCACAGTGACCCTTCCAAAATATGAATCTGATTATGTTACGCCCTTTCCATAAATCCTTCAGTGGCTGTTGCCTATAGGGGTAACTTGCCCTTCACCATGTGGAACTTGGACCAAGTGTGGAGGTTTGAAATGGAAGAGCATATTGGGTATTAAAAAAAAAAGGTGGCTAAAGAAAAGGCTGAGACAGGTTCAAAGAGAAAGGACTAGATAATGTAAGCCCTCTAGGCTGGGCTAGCAACCTGTAAAAATTCAGGCAGGTAATGGAGCAGAGTGATTGTGTAGGCTACTTGTGCATGTACTGTAAGTTGGTTCATCAACACCATCCAACTCACTTTTCCCTGTTTTCCACTTTATCAAAGCTGGAAACAAAAGTCTCTTCAAAGTTCCTGAAGGAGCTCACTAAATTATTCTTTTTTTTTTTTTTTTTTTTTGGGGAAAGAATTTCGCTTTTGTTACCCAGGCTGGTGTGCAATGGCGCGATCTCGGCTCACCGCAACCTCCGCCTCCCAGGTTCAGGCAATTCTCCTGCCTCAGCCTCCTGAGTAGCTGGGATTACAGGCACGCACCACCATGCCCAGCTGATTTTTTGTATTTTTAGTAGAGACGGGGTTTCACCATGTTGACCAGGATGGTCTCGATCTCTTGACCTCGTGATCCACCCACCTCGGCCTCCCAAAGTGCTGGGATTACAGGCTTGAGCCACCAAGCATACTCAGCTTCCCAACCTCACTGCAGCTAAGAGTGGCCAAGTAGCATAGATCTGGCCAATGAACTGCAGGTCGGAATTTCTGAGAAGGTTTCCTTCATAGGTAGAAAGGTGAGGCCTCTCTGAAAGCCTTTTGGCTTTTGCTACTCCCTTTCTTTTTGTCTGAAATGTGGCTATGATGCCTTGGACAAAGCAGCCACTTCGTGAGTTTGTATGAGGTCAGAGGCACACACTAATGACAGAGCCCAGCAAGAGAGGGAGCCTGTGTCCCTGAAGACAGGCTGGTTTGATGGTCATTTGACTCTTCACCTCCAGCCTCACCACTAACCATTCCTCTCACCTTGTGATCTACAATCCAAGCACTGGTGAAATATCTCAGGCACATCACATTGCCCCTGTGTCAGTTTTTCTCAATCTTTTAGAAATTGCTGATTATGCCTATTAATGCATTAATACTGTATGCTTAAACTTTAAAAAAGAATCAGCAGCATTGTGGGCTGGACTGTTCCCGTAGCAAAAGAGTCAGGAAGTCTAAGTTTAATTCTGGCTTTCCCATTGACTGGCTCTGACATTGGGCATGTTTCAGCAGCTTCCTCATCTGCAAAATGGGAGTATTAGATGTGATTTGATCTTTCCATCCTTTTTGTTCAATGAATATCTGAGGCCAACTATGAAATTTTTTCAAGAGAAAAGGAAAGACCATAAGCAATTGATAGTGCAAACCTCAACAAAAGTTTACGGAAGAGAAATCAAGAAGCAGCCCTGAGTAGTAAGGACACAAACAATTCCATAGCACTGTGTGCAGGGGTGGCGGGGAGAATGATGGTGGTAGTGAGTACTCTCAACACCAGAGGCTGTCCTCTCCAGGTACTGAAGGAAGGGTGAGGTAGGCTAAATTCCAGTGTCTGGGCTGGGTGCAGTGGCTCATGCCTATAATCCCAGCACTTTGGAAGGCCCAGGTGGGTGGATTGCCTGAGGTCAGGAGTTCGAGTCTGGTCAACATGGTGAAACCCCATCTCTACTAAAAATACAGAAATTGGCTGGGCGTGGTGGCTGGCACCTGTAATCCCAGCTACTCAGGAGGCCGAGGCAGGAGACTTGCTTGAACCTGGGAGGCAGAGGTTGCAGTGAGCCGAGATGGCACTGTTATACTCCAGCCTGGGGCCTGGGTGCAAAGAGCAAAACTCCGTCTCAAAACAAAACAAAAAAGTCCACTGTCTCTCATCAGTCACCACTTCAGTGGGTTGTGCTAAATGTGTCTGATATACAATGCTAGGTATTAAAATAAGCATTCTGGGAGAATTCAGATGATGCAACTACTTGCACAGAGGCACTGTCTTTAAGTTCCTGAAGGAGCTCACTAAATTATTCTTAAAGGAGCATAATGAACTATTCATTCTAGATGTTACTGCCTGCACAAGACCATGTTCTACAGTATAACCCATTAAACACACATATCTTTAGATTAAAACACAGGTTCCGTTATGGGTCGACTTGATGGGAAAGTCATCATCCTGACGGCCGCTGCTCAGGGGATTGGCCAAGCAGCTGCCATAGTAAGTTGCTCTCTTTGTTGTCTGCTTACTAATTCTTGACGTATTTAATTATGTGGACTGTTGCCATAGCTGTTTACTTCTGCTCTGCATTTTTTGTTTTTTACTTTTGTGCTTCTGTTGTCTTAAGTTATAAAAATAAAGAAATAGGTCACTATTCCTAACCCCAGGCAGATGAAGGAATGAATTCTTCATGTTTATTACATGACATTACTTACAAATTTTGACTCTGAGAAATTTCTCTACTTCACTTTCTCTGCTTCATAATAAATTTGCTACAGAGGGCCAACAGGGTTACATAGCTTTCTGAAATTATGTCAATTTAGATATATGACTATAGAATTATAAGACAGGTTTCCTTTGTCTTTTGATTTATATCAATTTCTGTTACACTGTATACACCACTTGAGTTAACAGTGCACCTTAAGTATAATGGTAGGATATGATTTGACATCTATGAAAGCACTAGCATACTCTTAATAGGAAAAATGTTGAAATATTCCATTTTTCTCTTATTATTTGGAGTTTAGAAACTCAAACTCAGAAATGGTATACAGTCTCATTACAGAAGAGCAGTATTTTGAGAGTACTAAAACAGCTGTCATTTTTTAAAATGTTATTTTGTTTGACATTACTTAAAGGGACTGAGATGACAAACACAATGTATGTCACATTGTTCTAATTAATGATGAAAGTAATAACACTGGAGAGGGGGTAAGACTAGACAGTTTGAAATTCTAGCTATCTTATAGGGAAAACAACAATGAAAATAAGATAAAGGAGAAAAAGACCACATGATGTTCCATTCATCAGCACAGTTTATTCAAGTAAACAAAGGATTTATTTGTACTTTGTGTCTACTAGGCTTTTGCAAGAGAAGGTGCCAAAGTCATAGCCACAGACATTAATGAGTCCAAACTTCAGGAACTGGAAAAGTACCCGGGTAAGCAACTCAGCAGCTTGGACTTGGGATTCAGTGTCTGCAAGGTATTATAAAGCAATGGCACTCCCATGTTCAAAGAAAATTCCTTAGCTATTCACCTCCACTGTCCTGCTTCTTAGATTCTCACACTCTGAGATGAAATCTATATTCTGTGAACCTGTAGACAAAAATCTGTGTACTTACATGCATAAAAAAATTTGAAGACAAATACTTAAAATTCTTTATTTATCCAACACATTGAGGGATTCCATTCCTAATTACAAACTTACATGTCAAAATATACTAGTTATTAGTTTTGATAACTTTTCACTTCTGTGCCCTTCTCCTCCAGGATAGCCCTGTCCAATAGTAACACAATGTGAGCCGCATGTATAATTTTAAAGTTTATAGTATCCACATTAAAAAGAAACAAGTGAAAATTAATAATATATTTTATTTAATCCAGTATATCTAAAATATTATCTCAACATGTACTCAAGATAAAAAAATTAATGGAATATTTTATTTTTCTTACTAAATATTTTATTTAAACAATTAGAAGTTTCTTACAAACTTCAATCACTAATTTTCTCTTCTTTGCAGCTTTTCTCTTAATTTTCTCTTCTTTGAGGTATAATTGAGAAATAAAAATTGCATATATTCAACATGATGTTTTCATATATGTTGTGAAATACCCTGTGAAATGATTATCACAGTCAAGCTAATTAACATATCCAATACCTCATTTAGTTACCTCTGTGTGTGTGTGCTAAGACTACCTAGGATCTATTCTCTTAGCAAATTTCAAGTATGCATTATTATTAACTATAGTCACTGTGCTGTACATTAAGTCTTATAACTGCAAGAGTGTACCCTTTGAGCAACATCTCAATATTTTCATACTAAATCCTTAAAATCCATGTGTATTTTACACTTGCAGCACATTGCATTTCAGACTAGCTATTTTTCAAGAGCTCGATAGCCACATGTGGCTGGTAGCTACCATACTGGACACAGCTCAGCCCTAAAATCACACATCATCATGAGAAAACCTAAGAGATACCTCGATTATTAGGTGTGCACCACCACTTCCTCACCCCACTGAACCAAACTCCAACATCAAATGATTTTAATTATAGTTTGCCCAAAGAAATCAGAACAGAGAACTTATTTGAAAGTTAACCCCTCCAGCAAAATAGAACAGGTTACATAATTAAACAGAAATTAGTTCCTTGAATTAGTTAATTGAATTGAAATATGTTGAATTATAATTCCAACAAGTCAAAGTAAAGAGACTACACTGGGAAAGCACAAAGATGAGGAAGTATTTTTGAAATAAAATTTCAGTCTTCCCTTTCGTTTTTTTTTTTTTTTGAGACGGAGGTTCGCTCTTGTTGCCCAGGCTGGAGTCCAGTGGTGCAATCTCCGCTCATCGAAGCCTCTGCCTCCTGGGTTCAAGCAATTCTTCTGCCTCAGCCTCCCGAGTTGTTGGGATTACAGGCATGCACCACCACACCCAACTAATTTTGGTATTTTTAGTAGAGATGGGGTTTCTCCATGTTGGTCAGGCTGGTCTCAAACTCCCAATCTTAGTTGATCTGCCCACCTCAGCCTCCCAAAGTGCTGGGATTATAGGGATGAGCCACTGCACCTGGCTTTCAGTCTTCCCTTTCTTTATTCATCTTTTCTTTCTATATTCCCCCAAAATAAAATTAACCATATATATATTATTTATAGTATAAATTATAAATCATAGTATATTATGTGTATTATATATAATACATAATTGTTTATGTGTTAATAATGATGCATATATTTCTAATGTATGTGATATGTATTATAAATTATAAATAGATAATATATGTTTATTATATGCAAATATATATTATAGTATGTAAACTATATATTATACATTATAATGATATATTATGCATATACATATTATACATATATAATATACATGTGCATATTAATACATTATGTTATAAATTATATATTATGCACATTATAAATAATGTGTATATATTTATAATGATGACTGCTGCTTTTGTTAGACACTGTTCAGAGTTTCTCAGTAACTAGTATGGTGTATATCTCTCAGGTTCCTGCCATGCTAAATCTCTCATGTCTAGCCTTCAAGTGTGTCATTCATTCTTCTGATCCCCTCTTTGCTTCTCCTTGCATTTTACTCCAGAAATACATGTATTTGACTGGATACCTTTGACTAACAGAAAATAAATAATGAAAATGACATAAAGGGGAAGCTCACAAATAGAAACAATCTTTTATTCCACAATCCCTGCTCTTCCCCACCCCTCACTCAGACAAAATTCAGCATTACTGTATAGGAACCATCAACCCAGTCTCTGGCAGGGGAAGGATGGGCTCAGATGAACCCACTTTTAGTAATTACTGCTGGCTTACTGAGAAACATCTAATGTTCATCAGTCATACTTCACTATAAAGCCATTACTCAGAAAGGACCCTTATTATTCAATATGGAAAATGTACAGAGAGGAAGGAAGAGGGATGGCTGAGTTACTGGAGGAGTCAAGATGGGGCTTTATGTTTACTAATGAGATTCTGAAGATTCTTAAGACCCCAGTAAGAAGGTCAGCAATCTATGAAGCCTAACTGGATAGATATTGTAGTCTTCACACTTCATACTTCAAAAGAGATAAACCTTCAAGGCTAAACAGTTTTAGGAATAGTGCCTTTTGTTTTATTTTTCAGGTATTCAAACTCGTGTCCTCGATGTCACAAAGAAGAAACAAATTGATCAGTTTGCCAATGAAATTGAGAGACTTGATGTTCTCTTTAATGTTGCTGGGTAATTCGTAACTTTTTAATTTCACTTTTCTTACAGAAACTTTTCTATGACTTTCATCCAAATAATTTTGAAAATATGGCAAAATCATTTGTTGTGAACCATGACATATTTCTTGGGACATATGGGTAGATTTTACACAGCATTTTCATGATACATAAGATTCAGCAGGTAAGACAGCCTTAGAGTTTGACATGATTTGGGGCAAATGAAGTCTACTCAAAACAGCTGGTACTGATACAAAGCTGTATTTTGTGTTATAATGTATGGAAGTTAAATTAAAGCAATAATTTCTGATGATCTATTTTATAAATAGTCCATCCTCATATAAGAATATACTCAGAAACATGAAACCAATAGTTAGCAAAGTTAGTTTTTGAGCATCTATTAAATTTTCAGCCATGTAGGGGATGTAGAAATATACTATGTGGTTCCTGCTGTCATGAAACTGACATTCTGATTGAACTGGCAGAACTGTGGTACATGGAAGTCACAGCCAATAATATTTTATAATTAATTACATAATTTGGGTCCAGAGGACCAAATCAATAAAGGTCTCAGTGTTTAGGAAGCTTCCCTCAGAAAGTATAACTTGAAAAATAATGAAGGCTACTTTAAGGGTTTGTTTTGTTTTGCCTTAATGTCGCTCATACAACAAGCAAACATCTCTCAGTATGTTAACGTTATGACACTAGCAATATCACTTTGCTGCTGAGATGTTGAGACACTTGTTTTCCTTGAGATTTTGATTTCCCTTGACAGTTCTAAATCTGTGCCACCTGAGGGCACTGTTGCTCTTGAAATAGGAATCATAGGAATCAAATAGACAAATAGCGCAGATGTTTCCTCTCTTTTTTTTTTTTTTTTTTTTTTTTTTGAGACAGGATTTGCCTCTGTCCCCCAGGCTGGAGTGCAGTGGAATGATCATGGCTCACTGCACCCTGAAACTCCTGGGCTCAAGTAATCTTCCTGCCTCAGTCTTCAAGGTAACTGAGATTGCAGGTGTGTGCTACCATGCCCAGCCCTGTTCTCCTTTATTTGTTGTTTGTTTTTAATGGCATTGATGTTTTCAACACAATTAGTATAAAGTTTCTTATGATCGGTGACCGTATTCTTGTTTGGAAAACAAGAAGGATCTTGTTTTCAGATGACATTTCTAGCTTAAGTTGTTGGGATTCTTACCAATATGACATACTAAGCAATAATGTTTGAATTGTTTAAAATCTTGATAAGGAAAGAGGCAGTGGTCTAAGTCATGAAGTGATAACAGAAATAATCAGCAAATGGAACAGAAAAATTTTAATGGCAATGATTCCCCCATTGTTTAATCACGCGTCTAGTTTTGTCCATCATGGAACTGTCCTGGATTGTGAGGAGAAAGACTGGGACTTCTCGATGAATCTCAATGTGCGCAGCATGTACCTGATGATCAAGGCATTCCTTCCTAAAGTAAGACCACCACCACCACCACCAGGCTAAGCACCACATTAGGTCTCCATACTGGGCACACAGAAAGGATCCTCACATGTGCTGAAGAATGATAATAACTAACATAATGATTAACATGCATGGAACATTTATATCAAGGCATTTCACATAAATTAATCTATTTAACCTTCCAGTTCATCTACTCAAGGAATATTTATCAAGCACTTTCCACATGCCAGGCTCCATTCTAGGCACAGAAGACACATGAGTGAACTAAAGTGCCTTCTATAAGGCAGGTGCCATTATTGGGGGTGTGATGGGACAATTAGTAATCAAACAGACACAGAATATGTAGCATGGTTGTTAAGTATAATGAAGAGAAAGGAGGTAGGATATCAATGAGGCCCCTCTGGACTCTACTGCAAAGATGAAACTGTCATAGCAGTCCAAAAGAAGTGAGAGAGCTGATCATTCAGGTGTCATGGGAGAGGATTCCAGGCAGAGGTACCAGCAGGGAGGCACACAGGACTAGAATGATCCTAAGAGGTAGGTACTGTTATCTCATCCATTGTTCAGAAGATGAAACTGAGTTTAGGCAGCTTGCTCAAGGTTACACAACTAGCATGTGGTTAGAACCAAGATTTGAAGCCTAGAAGTTGAGCCTCTTCATGAATTTCCGTCTAGGCTCACACTGTCGAGATGGATGTACCCCATTGCTTTTCTCTACCCTGAAGCTTCTTCCTTCGCTCTTGTTTTGATCTGAGCCACAGTGGTAATGGGCAGGTGAGGGACAGTGTGTGCTCAAGAGAGCATTCCTCCTGGGCCTGCTTCCCTTGAATTCTCAAGCCTTCACACAATGCATCAGTGTTTTAAATTTTATTTCGTAAACAAGCATTAAGTACCTCTTGGTATAAATCACTATA